TCGGTTATTTATATTTAGTATAAAGTAACTACATTATTACTATTATGTGTTTTCTTAATTGCTTCAGCTCTAATTAATACAAACAATATAAAATCTTTAAAATGCAACTGGGTGGTGAAAGCATGAAAAATCTTGCCATGTGGCCTTGGGACCATGTGATCGAATGAAGTATCCTAAACTCACCAATGCACATGCATTATTGTCAAACCTAAAGTTATATATATGATGTTTACATCAAAATTCGAATATCTACCACATTTATAATGAAAAAACATGAAAAACTGTTCGATGATTTTTAGATTTTCTTTATTTTTTTCATCATACATCCCTCAAATTGGTAGGAATTTATAACGCATCACTTTCATCCTCCAGTGACTTATTTCAGTAGGTAATGTCAAAATACAATGCTTCATTTTTGTTCTAGCACGGGATAAATACATACATGTGAAAATTGCTGAAGCTGCGAGTGACTGCATGGGATTCATGGACCCAGTCAGAGCCAAGTTTTTCTTTGCGGGGATTTATATTCACAAGGGTAATTCTACATTCCTATACAAGTTTGAAAACAGGTATAACTCACTTTCGACTAACCCAAACTCCAAGAACCAACTACCCCCACCAAACTTTGGGACAGTCCCAAAATTAAAATTTCTGAAATGTTTATTTTCTTTTATGATGCACATAAAAATTAACATAAATTTCTCTATAACTCCCTCTTCAGTTACTCCAATATATAGAAAAAGAATCATACAAGATTCTTGCTATGCTTCCTTTCTTCTCCAAAAAGAGAAAATATATAATATATCCAACAGCACATAAAAAGAATGATGAATGGGATACATACACAACCATCCTTTTCTGTCACTAGCCAGTATTTTCACTATTCCTTACAAATACTCAATCACAAATGCAGGTAATTTCACAAAAGCAATTAAACAATTACCTGTCGGCTGAGGAACGTCATGGATGAACGATTAACCCAGGCAAAATTAGCTGCTGCTGCCATTGACTTGAGGTAGTCCTGGCCTTCAGGGGAATTGATCCTGGCACATGCTAACTGTCGATCATTTGTGTCAATGCCATCTCTCTTCATGGCCTTTTCCATGGCAACAAGGGCATCTGTAAATATGAAATTACATTTAGAGATACACCACAAATAATGCAGATGCATTATATACATAAATGTTGGTATGTAAACAAAATACACCTACAATCACTAAAGAACTGATGCAAACAGATTTATACAGCTACTTTAGATTATACAAGTCATACAGTTAATACAACACAAATATACAGTATGTTACTGAACAATTCGAAATCACAAAGTAATAATACTCCTTTTCTTAGAACTATGCTCATAAAAATACCAAAGTCTTCAAATAGTATATAAAGCAACCTGTAGCTACTTGATGGCCAAATCCCCTGGAGCCCGAGTGAATCATGACACAAACTTGGCCTTTCTCCTCGATTCCCATCTTGCTGGCCGCCCACTTGTCGTATATTTCATCCACAACCTGGATCTCTGCATAATGGTTGCCAGCACCCAGAGTACCTAGCTGTTGTGTGTACAGAAACCAATATCAGATAATTATCATTATTTATCATTGTACCTAATAATTTTATTTCCATTAAAATCACATAAATTGTTCCTATCATTATGAGGTAATCACATTTATCAAATTGACTACAATCCTTTGATTCCAAAATGGAGAAGGAAATCTCATGCCTTCTCTGTACCTGTGGCAGCCCCCTTTTCTTAGCTCGCATTGAAACTTTGGCAGGATCAGCCTGTGCCATTCGCCCATACTCTTCACAGTGTTCCTTATCTTCAGCCCATATATAGCCTGGAACAAATTTATGGCAAGAGTCAATTAGTAAGTCTACCTGACATCACTGAATTTCCCTTTTGAGGAAAAATTACTTACAAATATCATAACTACTAATGTCATTAATGACATCAACATTATAAAGTTATTACCCAATTGGATCTGGGTGTCTCACAGCTATCATGTGGCCCAAAATACTGGCATCAGGCTTATGTGAGCGGTTGTTTTGACAGGTGCGTGGCTTGTAGGCCAGGCACAAATGAATACTCATGTGGGGTGACAGGAGACTATGCCTCCCCTCTGCAATGTTATTTTCTCTTTTAATGCCTATACATTTTTTTTTTTTTTTTCTTTTCAATGTTGATTTTTATCATTTGGTTTGCTTCATCTAGATGGTAACAGACTTGCACAGTTCCAATCTCATCTCCCTAGGTAGTCCATAATATTTTGTCAAAAAAAGGTCTCTGTACTGCTGCTTTTTTAGTTACTGAAAATATTTTTTTATGTCTTATGGGGGGGGGATAATAATAATAATAAATAAAGATGGGAAATGTTGGGCCTAAAAATTGATCGATACCTGAAAATTGGCCTGATTCCTCAATCTAAAAGGAAAAGAAAAGAAGAAAAAAAAATTAACAATAGTAATCATAATAATAATATAGAAAAGGAGACTTCTGACAATACAGTACAATATCAGAAGGAAGAAGGAAGAGAAGAAAAAAAATATAGAGAACTGACTGTAAAGAATCCTGTTAAGCTTTTCCACTATACCTGACATCACTGATCATACAGACAAAACCAAAGAAGTTTGAAAGTTGCATGAATTGTCAAGGAATGTTTTCTCTGTTATGAAGAACTACACAAGGAGATAAAGCAAACAAACCACCCTGGATAGATTTATCTTTGCAAAGCGGCATTAAGGGACATGGGATATTCCTACTCCTTCAGTTTGCTATCTCACAAAAGCCATCTGTGCTCTTCCTCCTTGGTGTATCTGTCTTGTATTATTGTATATCATAATTTGATAAATAATAACTTATAAAATCATTTTCTTGGTAGTAACTGTCTTTTCTGTAATTTTATGTTATGGTATGGATCCAGGAATGGAACTACCAATATTTCTCATTTGTTAAGCTGTATAAAAAGGGTAATAGACTGTTTTTGTTGAGCAGACTCCATATCATCTCTTCTGTGCAATTACAATAATAATATGTAAATAATGTGATACTTGTGTTATTTTTTCATATGTTTGTAATATTCCATTATGTGTAACATATCCAGCACCATGCAACAAGGAATAGCTTCCTGTGCATGGAAATATGTCATCAATGAAGTCAGTGCTCTTCTAGGCATGGCTCACATATGGTACATTCCACCTTTGTTTATCAGTAGAAATAAGAGAAATAATGAGTCTAATCCTATGGGGTTATGGAGTCTAATCTCCCCTCTAAGACAGACCTGGGCAAATACGGCCCGCGGGCACATCCGGCCCTTTGTGTGTCCCTGTCCGGCCCTCGCGGGCCTAAATATATAATTTATCAAATATATAATTTATTAAATATAAAATTTATTAAATGTTTATACCTATTAAATATATAATTTACTAAATATATAATTTAGTGCATTTTACAATGGAAGAAAGTTGAGCAGAATTAAGTTCAAGTTATTGTTGGTGTGGCCCTCTGACACAATTCAGGTTTCTCATGTAGCCCCTTGTAAACATTAATTGCCCACCCCTGCTCTAAGACTTTTATTCACCCATGGTGAGACATCTCTGTCACCCATAACTTGGCAACAATATCACAGGATATCCTTTCTGTAAGCCTGGCCCTCAGCCAAATTTTTCCATAGGAACACAATCCTGTCACCTACCACTTAGCCAATTTTTTTTATGAAGTAACATCCATGTCATTCAGATAAAATGCATTAATAACAATAAAAATAATAATTATAGAAAACAATCAACTCTACAAAAACGAAGAGTCCACACAATCTATTCATACCTTCTCTTAGTGACCAGTCCATGCCCATCTCTAGGGCTTCCTCCAAGTCTCGTGCCGTCATGGGGATGATACCCTTTGAACCAACACCCACAGGAATGTGATCAAACATTGATTGGGCCAGCTGTTCCTGTTGTCATACAAAAAGTTACATTCAATACCATAATGGAGAAAGTGTGGGTCATTCTAATGACAAAAGTACTTTTTTATAAGTGAAAGAGAAATCTGTTTTTTTTTTTTAGATATTCCATTTTTCTCTTAGAAACAATGATTTTATATATCTTATTAAAACTTTTTTTTAAGTATTCTATAACCAATTTAAAGAGTTCCCTGTGCATCAAACTTCTAGAAGCAAAACAAGATTATAAACTTGTGTAATGAAGTAGTTTAGTCACCAACAGTACATTTTTACTTTTTGGGCGACTACCTTTAACGTTTAAAAATAAAGAATGCATAGAATTATATTATTCTATGTTGAATGAACTAAGCTAAAAACAAAAATTTACTACAGCAATATACTGATACAATTTTTTCTCAAACATCAGATATCAGAATTTTACCAAGATTGGTATCATTCTGGTTTCAGACATACATATAGCAAAGGTAATAGTACAATCAGGCAGTGAAGATGGCTTGCTCAACCAAGTCTTTTGTCAAAAGTATAGGGAAGTGATAATTAACTATGGGCATACAAAGGAATTTGCTATTCAAACATGTAATTTTCACCTAAACATCTGATAGACTTTTCTAACAGATGAAATGCACAGGTATACTTGTTTATTATAACACATTCATTTCATATTCTGAACTGGATCCAAGGTTTTCTATTACCGTTTCTAATCCAAATGTTATCCCTAGAGTGAGCAAAACTATGTGGTTTCATGTTATCAATTCAAAATAATGATACTGCTGACATAATTTCTGATAAAAAAAAACATATAGCTTCATTATAATTGACAGTGTTTTTTAAGAAAATCATAAAACACAAGTGTTAAGAAGGAAATATGAGAGAAAAAAAAAAAACCCTGGATGAGTTACCAGTTACTCTTTATTATCAACTCTTTAGATCCAAATGTTTCATGGCAATCACATGGCCTAGAATACGGTCATTAGGCTTCTGTGAGCGGCTGCTCTGACAGATGTGTGGCTTATAGGCTGAGCACAAATGAACACTCATATGTGGTGACAAGACTCTATGGCTCTACTTTCCAACATTATTTTCTCTTTTCATTCATAAGCGTTTTTAACTTTTTGCCATTTTCCTATATCCATATTTGTCATATGATTTGCTTCATCCAGATGGTAATAAGACTATTTTCCTTGCACAGACTCTATATCATCTTTTTAGGTAGTTCATAACTCCATTTTCTATTTTTTTGTAACATTAAATTGTCTGTACTACAGCAAAGGTCGCTGGTAAGACAGCCAGGAATAGGGTGCTGAGCATGGAAATGGCATCCTTTCTGGAGCTAGTGCTCTTCCAGTAATGGCCTCACAGACACTACATTCCACATTCATTTATCATTGGGAATAATGCAAGAGCCCCTTTCTAAATCTTAAATGAGTCTAATCACCCTCCGAGAGTTTTGTGCATTCGTGTTGTTTTTCCTATCACCCTATCCCTCAGCCAAAACACTCATGATGGCAAGTTCACATCACCCTAGCTCACAGCCAAATTTTCCCAAGACAAGCATGCTCACATCATCTGCATATATATATGCATATATATATATGCATATATATATGCATATATATATGCATATATTATGTGTGTGTGTGTGTGTATATATATATATATATATATATATATATATATATATATATATATATATATATATATATATATATGTATATATATATATATATATATATATATATATATATATATATATATATATATATATATTATATATATATATATATATATATTATACATACACACAAATTAAACTGGACCTATTCCTTCTAATGATCATGCCCACCATGTGAAATATTTCTAGCCTCTCCTGGTGATTTAAAGTCTATTTTGATTAAAAAACACAAACACACACACACACACACACTGCACATTCTAGTTTGTGCATTGTTGGGAGTGTTTTACCATTCATAGTTAATTTTTAAACTTTTCTCTTTTGTAATCTTTAAAAAACAATGTAAGAAAAATGTTTCTTTATAGAATACATGAATCTACCAATATCATGCACTAATTACCTTGCAATATATGCAAGTCCATGTCTGAGACTGAAAATTTACTGTCAAATTATCCAGCTGATGAAAATTCAATATCTAAAGTACATAAAGGTTTATCAGGCCTCTGAGCCTTCTGACGTTACCTTTCTGTTATATAACAAAAAAATCATACAACTTTCTATTTAATCACATACCTTGATAGGCTTAACATCATTTTCCATCAAGTTGGTACGAAGAAGACGAACTCCACAGTTTATGTCAAATCCTACTCCTCCAGGAGACACTACAGCTTTCGGGTTATCCATATCAAAAGCTGCCATATTACCTGTGAAAGATATGCCAACACAATATACACATACACTTATTTCAAGGAATAATCTACTGTACCTTTCCAAAAGTTAATCTTTTTAAGACTGAAAATAAGTATTCATTGCATTGTTTAACTTTGGTAATTATATCCTCTTTAAGATCCAGTTTTATTGGAAAAATCTAGGGACATCCTCCTAAAGAAAAGTTTAATTTATTACATGCTTATGACAAGTCACAGTACTCATCTCTACATTGTATTTCTGTACATGATACTCAAGTATAAATAATAAGGATGTTTACCTCACAGCTTCAGGCATTTAATATTACCAATATTAGCCAAATTTGGAAGAAGAAGAAGAAGAAGAAGAAGAAGAAGAAGAAGAAGAAGAAAGAAGAGTAGATGAAGAAGAAGAAAGTATTATACTTTTTATGTTGATACTTTACTCTTCCTCTAACTTGGCTATAATAATTCTATCAGACTTACCAATTGCAAATCCATAGCCAGAGTGGACATCAGGTAGGCCAACCGACCTCCCGACAATACCAGGTAAAGCTGCAACATTTGCAATTTGCTTCATAGCTGGCAAAAAGCCTCCACCATGCCAGGACGACAAGCATTTCGTAGCTCATCAAACATGAGTTTCTCTAGGTGATCGTTCACATAAAAGATTCCATCCACCTTAGAAGAAATCAAAGAGATTATAGTAGTAATGATGCTGAATTCAGGCAAATATATAATACAAAACAATAAATAAACCATCAATACTAGATAGAGCAGAAAATAAAATAATAATAACAATACTGTTCATGGTTGGGATTTCTTTTTTCTCTTAGGTGGATGGGTAGGTGGATGGGCAATGGGTAAGTGAATGTAATAACATTAATAATAAAGTTGGAAATTATTTCAAAATATGATAATAAAATCATTATCAGCTATATTTATAACAACATAAAAAAGCATAAATAACAAAAAATTTAATAATAATAACATACTGGTTGAACAAAGTGCATTATCATCAACATCAACAACAATGACAATGATCAAAACTCACATTCATGTTGGGCTGGAACCCCTTCTTGATTCGCCAGCAGTTTGGCATGATGCGCTCAAGGAACTTGAGCTCATCATTGTATTGTCGAACAACCATCTTTCTCCAAGCAGTAATTCTGTAAAGAAACATATTGCAATCACTATGTGGAAGGTAATCAACATTTTTTCCATTCCTCCTGATATAGAAAAGACTATCATAATTATGAGAAGGGATAAATAATACTAATAAATATAATAATAATAATAATAATAATAATAATAATAAAAATATATAATATATAATCATCATAAAAATAATACTAATAAAAATAACATTAATAATCCTTCGGAAGCAAACTCATACAGATCTATTAACAAGATATTCAAACACACAATTGGAAAGAGATTAACATGATGGTTAAAATATAACAAGTTAGATAAAGATTTAATAGGATTTAGACTGAAGAGAAACATCAACAATGCACTACACACATTAAATAACTATACAAATAAAGCAGCCAAAGATTTTTTTTTTTAATGAAAGCATGTATTGATTTAGAAATAGCTTATGAGACAGTAAATCACGACACATTACTAATAAAAATTCAAAATTGGGTATTGCAGGAAAACCTCTAAATTGGTTAAAGATCATTCCAAATGAAAATTGGAAACCAAAGAACAGGAAAAGATAAAATATAGGTTCATCTATAAATCCAATACTATTCAACATATTTTTAAAGGATCTATAATTTTCTGGTGGCGATGATAAAATAATATACGCAGATAACATAACCTTAGTAACAAGTAATAAAAACTTTTTAGAGGCTCCAATAAAATAGAAAAACTAAGAGAATGGGCTAATAATTGGTATTTGAAAATAAATTTTCTAAAAAGCAATTAAATGTGTTTTCCAAATAAAAAGGCCAATCAATTGCCAAGAATAACAACAGATTAAACAGAAATTAAATATACTGAGTCATAAAATCTTAGGCTTAACATTAGATGCCCTAGACTAAAATGGAAAATCATAGAAAACTTAAACATAGAAATATTAAGTAGAATAAACATAATAAAAAACAGCCGAGAGAAAAAAAATAATAAATAAATAAAAATCAAATTAAATTTGATAAGATTATGTTAGAGTGGCAACTCCACAACAGTCTTTCTATGGAGTTTCAGATAAAAATTCACAAAAATAAAGCTATTAGACACATCCCTCTGACACCCCCCCCCCACCACCACCTGTAAATGTAAGTCCAGCAAGTGATAAATGAAGTCACTTTAAGCAATAATAAGTCAGAAATAAAGAATATTGTATTCTTTTGATTTATACTACTACAAAAGCATATTTCTAACAATGTGAGTGTGTGTGCTTGTGGCGCTGAAAAGCCAGCCAAAACACTGTGGCGTGATTGGCTGGCCACAAGGTGGAACGAGAATAAGGTGCCGTGTTTGGTTCCCGAAGGGGGTGACTAACTGGCAGGCAGTGCAGAGGGGATCTGGAAGAGCAAGCAAGTTCTGTGACTGAGCTGTGACCTCAATTGAGCTGCTCTCTCTAAGGAAGAAATGGAAAGATGGAATAATGTGATAACGGTGTGCGTGTGCATAGTGACCTCCTTTCCCCAATGAGTGATATGTACCTGTAAATAAATTTTGTAGACCGCCAATAAACTGTGTATTGCTACCTGCCTGTCCTTTCATCCCCGCTAATGTCATTTAGTGCCCTGTGTGTGAAAACACTCGTTAGCGGTTGCTCACTGAATCCAGTAGGATAGGCAGTAAAGGAGTGCAGCTTCCTGACATAGAGGGCAAGTTGTATGAGGCACCTAGCACTTGGGAACCTGTCTGTGTGCCTACTACATGGGAGAGTGCCCCTTTAATGGGCGTCATGAGAGGGTTACGTGACAATACAAATTGGTAACTTTATGTGGCCAGATAAACACAGCAATCAAGCTGAGAGTATGTATGTCACATGTTTGTGCCTTTTATTTGGTGCATTGCACTGGTAATAATAGAAATATTGCTGCATTAGAAGTGCAAACATGGTCTGGGGGCAAAACCTTAGAGAAGCAAGAAAATGAAAAAGAAATTGAGAGGAGAGAAGAGTGGACAGTGGTCTTTCTCCCCAGGAGGAGAGGGTAGTGGAGACCTAGGAATGCGGACCACACAACAGTATACAAACACCTCACTCTTCTCTCAACATCACCATCATCTCCAACATCACTTACACCTCCTCCATATCCAATTCCTCAATACATCCATGGGTGAAATAATTGCCCACATAAACATTCCACACTTAAACTCCCTTAACCCAACATTTTTTCAAAGTCCTCTGCAACTATTTCACCAACTTGCATAAATTTTTCACAATTTGAAAGACTGCCAATTTAGCTGGCTGTTTGTTACTGTCAAATTACATTATAATTTCAACAGAAATATTGGTTGTACGGTGCAGATTTCTCCTTACAGATTCTTTTATTTTGTGTGTGTGTAGGTGTGAAAAAAGCAAAGATGCTTTTCTCGCTCAACAATAATAGTAAAATATAGTATCAAGATTGACTTTTTTCAAGAGATTGGATAATCCTGTAATTTTTATTCTATTCTATTTATTTATTTTACTTATTATTTTATTGTTTTGTTACATG